TTCCCTTGGAGACACTGGCAACATTCAATGGATATGTACATAAAGAGCCTTTAGTCTGCGACAAATGAACTCATAAAACTGGGCGTCCAACATCAAACAAAAATTCTTGTATGTAATCAATTCCAAAGAAAAATCCGAGAATCGATAGAAATCTGCAGGACCCGATAGCTTAAAGGACCAATTTTTACAACTAACAGAGTAACCAAAAACTATTATTACTATATCGTTATTCAATATTTCTTGAGGGGCATCTAGCCACAGAGCAATTTGTTTTGTATTTTGATTTGTAACCGTTAAGCGGTAAATAATATAACGCAAACATAAACAATGCGACCATTCCCAATTTCACTTGCAATCAATAGCAATATTTTCCTCCTTATAATTAATTTCTTTGTAAATTTGTGCATAGCTTAGTGCAGTTATCTGTCAATATTAACGGCAATATTTAAGTGCGTAGAAAACAATCCCACCCGTCTCACTCTAAATAAAATTTGCCTCACCAAATCCATATTGCTATTTACAAATCTTCCTCCTGCGTCGACTATTGATGAAACTTGTTGACGTTTCGCCAATCATCTTGATAGCTTCTTCAGAACTCAACTGAAACTGAAGATTTGTAAATAGCATTACAGTAGACTTCACAACTTTGCTATCGTATAATTCATTATAGCCGCGACTTACGCCGTATATTTTATTAATCCGGGTTCCGTATATATATAAATGTATTTGTACGTTGGGTTAACCGACAGCAGTAGAAAGGCATATCGACAATGACTGCCTTCTATTTGTAGATATGGCTACAATGAGGTTTTATCCGCTAGGCAACATAGCGGTTTTCAATGAAATCCCACGAAAGTCGAGAATTTGCAGGAACGAACGCCGCCTCCATAGTTTAATTTAAATTAACGTGCTTAGACGGCGGTGTTGAAATACCGGGTGAGACAGCCAGCCAGCCAGTATATGCGACGCTAATAATCGAATCAGGATTCTGATGGTTAAAATAACTTTATAAATATATTGTAAGTTTTGAAAATACTCGCTAGGAGACGAAATATTACGACAAAATTAAAAAATTTGCTCATAACTTCGGCATGGAATTTACATATTTGGAAACTTTTTCAAGATATCCTTAAAGTTTTGGTAAAAACGACAACTGACAAAATGTTTATTTACGGGTTTAATTATTACTTCAAAATATGCAAGCGACAGCCACAGCCAGTTCAGACTCTTCAAAGAAAGCGCACATCAAATTTGTCCCACAAAACTTTTAATGGAGTAGAGCCTGAAACACCTTGTATATATGAATGGACTTTTCGTACAAAATAAACCTTTTTACCCCCCACTCGGTTTTAAGCGCAGAGAACCGGTAGTCCATGTCTGTGAAAGGAACGGAACAGGGCGGTCGTCTTCCGTCTTTAAGAAATAGTAACAGAAGGCGCCGCTTCCTACACGTTCTTTGTTTTACGTTAATTCAGACGGAATTGTATTTTAAACATTTTGCGTTGCTCCCAAGAAGCTACAATTTCAACAAATCTACAGACTGCATTATAATGCCTTTATTTGTATATGTATGCATCGGGGGCAGTATAGTTCAAAACTCATTGATTTGATAAAGTTTATTTAATTTTATGTCATTATTTTACTAAGGAACTCAATCATAAAATAATTATTGAAACTTAAAAGAACTAACTAAATTCTTAGACTCTTTTTGAATTTATTTTTGCTACCAGAAATTCCTAAATCATAAATAGAGTCTTTGCAAACAAACCAATGGGCTACTAGTATCACTAAATGAAACATAACATAAGTCCATAGACTATGATGAATTCCAAGCGTTAAAATCATTGACAAAAGAACAGGACCACCATGTGAACCCTGAGGTACACCCGAAAGAACATCTGGAACGATTCTCGCCCTACGCTTTCGCTGGGAAAAGGAAGGAAAAGGAATGTAGAAATGTAATGGCTACTCGAATACATAGCGGTAATACTCTCAGGGGCGCACCTTGCCGGCATGACACTTTAAGAGGGCACAAGGGAGAGCCAAAGATACGCAGGACTAGCCGACTATGTATGGCGATCTAAGAGTCACGTGGCCGACGGCCAGAGACGAGTTGGATCTTGAGGGTCGCAATCGGGAGCCATTAGGTGAGCCGACTATATATTCTATATATTATAATTCAACCAACCGAATGTATGGAGCTGGCAATATCAATAACTTATGGTTAACACTAGCAAATGCCTTTGAAAAATCCTTACAGATATACGTTCCATTAATTTCAAATGTCATTGCAAAATTTTTCTACGGCGGAATTTATATTGCACTCCCTAAAACGTTTCCCCCAATCCATTGAAGCTAAAAAATCAGTAAAACCTTCATAATTAAATTGAGGAATATAAAGTCGTAAAATAAATTATCATTACGCGGAATTATTATAACTATAATGTACCAAACGATCGGTTGATTTTTCTATCATGTGATCACAAATGGATCTATTACTCGATCGCAATTTAAAAAGTTAAAAGCACGAGCTAAAGAATTATCAGGGTAAATTAGTAGTAGACTGCTACTAATCCAACTAGCATCAGACAAATTGAAATCGTTTAGTTTAGTTGACTATTTTGATTAGTTACCTCAATACTTATAATAGATTCACAGAACTGCATATATGTCTCATGAGCTCATCTTTCCGTATCTGTCGAACCATGCTCATGGATTTGTTGATTAGGCGGGAATGATATACAGATTAAGACTCCACATTTATGGAGGTAGTTTATGTCCTCAAAAACTTCCTTATGACTAAAATGCCCTTTGTAACCCTTATGACTTGCATAGAACAATCACGTCGGATGCTTACTACACACCCCTGCAACAAATATGTTGCAAATCCTCTTCTTATGCCACCAAAATACTTTTACTGATGATCGTCCTGGATAAGAACACAAGTCAGTTGCACTTATTCGCTGATATTTCTCTAATTTGCATCAAGATCCCAAACTACTCTGTAAATTTCAGCCTAGTTCAAATGATATTTGACTTACTTGGCTGATAAGGTGTAAAATTAAGGATCAAACAAATTTGTGGAAATTCATCGTTACCGTTGAGAAAAATATGCCAATATGGTGCAACTTTGGACGTCTCGCATTCTATCTACCGATGATGCACTTTCGACTCCACAGACCAAATCGCCACTATCGGCCGCACACGCTGTCAAATTTTTATTGGGCCGGCGGCAGGGGGGTGTAATCCCGCCAGTGAGACGGGGAGCATCGCGATCCGAGTAAAGTGTGTAGGACGTGAGATAACAGGACCAAAGGCCGGCTTAGTCCCTTAAAAGGAATACGAGATCCAATTTCTCTTTTATTGACGCATTATATGTATATAAAGATGTGTAGAAGTGTAAGAGGATAGAGATGAGTATTTACGAACTAACCTGATAAAATATCATCCTCCATCAATTTTTTATGAAGTCTGATATTCAATTATTGATTTTAATACAGATATTTTCGTAAATAAGTGATGGTTCAATACGGTTCATATATTGGGTGAAGAGAGGAGAGTGGGGTTACCGTTTTAATAATTATTGGTATACTTAGAAGAATATTTGTAAAGTATAACATCAGTTTTGGAGCTAAAAATAATCAGGTCCACGTAACATAACTTACAGATTGATCTTAACATCTATGCAAAAGTACATACTGTTGGTTCTCATTTCTCTTGGAAGCGACCCTCCTTTCACAGTGCCATTAAAAAAAAGAGTTTTCTGAGAATTTTCGATGCTACCATCAAAAACATTTTTGTTCTCCTTAGAAAAGTAGTTTTTTCAACAATGGAAAATTGAGTAAGTCATTTTTAGTCTTAGTGACCAACATAATTATTTTAATTTAAAGTAATATTTACTTCTTCTTTTAAAGCATCAACTTTATTTAATATGTCGTCCTAGTTCTTCTAATAAAAGACAATTTTGGATATTCAAAGCACGCTTAAAATTCTCACCTAAAACTTAATTTCGAATTAATTGTGGTAAAATAGTAATCGTAATAGCAGTTTTATCAAAGTTCTCGACCTAAAGAAAATATTAGCAGTCAGCAACGCATTGAGTATTTTAGTTAAATATATCAATGTGCTGGCATCCCCCTCAGGTAATGTTTTCTTAAGTTAAAGCTACTGTGCTGCTAAACTAAAAGTTATTGCAAGATATAGCTAACATATACAAAATATGGTCGTACCCGAAATAAAACTGTCTACCTCTTTGCAGACATATTCTACCACTTAAATAAATGTTTTGGAAACAGGACCCAGATTATCAAACTTGTTACCGTTTTTTTTTTATAAGTTGAAGCTGACTTGTGAGAAACGTCAAAATACTATGACACCTTCCGCACACTCAAGTAACAGTAAGGAGTAGAAAAATGTACTTATATGCTAAACTGGCCGAGTTTAAATTAATCCAAAAATAATCTTAACTTAACTTAACTTGTCTGACATTATTGTTTAATTATAGCTGTCTATTCGATTTTTAATATTTTTATAGAAATTATAGAAAGTAATCAATGACGTAACGCACACCTCCTGATTTACCCGTAGGGTGCGAAAAATTAATCATCCCCGAAATGACTCTTGAGAGAATTGCTCCCCCAATGGTTGGCAGGTGCGCTTGCGTTTCCCGTCAAAAACAAATGCACGTCGACGGGACCACGTGAAACCCGGATTCAGTTTGGCGTCGCGACGCATGGGACGTACACCTACCCTGCCGAACGACGCACACAGCGTGCAGTGCGGAATATGAATTCCGAATAAACTATTGCTCGCTTGTCATATTCGCCATAGTCCCAGCCAGTTTCGGATACAATTTGATGTTCTCTAAGTCTTTTCCGGTGCCAAGGGTTTTAATTTTTTTTTCTTTCTTAGGTAATGTGTAACTTGACGTACACTCTTGCCCATCCTTCGTTTTCACGAATCGTTCATTTATAGTGTTTTAAGTTAGTTATCAGAAACAAATACACAAAAATACAAAGCTACTAATAAGTAAGTACAACATTTGAAATTACACTGTGCGTAGTCTACGAATCAGTTGCCTTCCTCTGAGGTTCAGAATTGAGAACTCAAAAAGAGCTGAAATTTATTTAATCGAATATAAATAATATAAACTGGAACCACAACCTAATGATTTATTGTCCAGATTTTAGTATTGTCGTACCTGCGTATCGAAAACCATGTAAAGTTACTTTGAAGAACATTAAATTGCATTCTATAACGAACTGACTGAGTTGTAAAATTCCCGCAATGTCACTCAGCGAAGAATTGTATTTGAACGGAACAACGGACAAAGCGACCAAAAGTATATATCAACACTCCGCAACAGGCGAAAAGCACGTCCTTTTCTATCCTACGTCACCTGACCCATCTCTGACTTCGGACGAACGGAAGAGCTGGTGCCAAGCGTCATCTTCGAACAATGTAGGTAGCGTAAGTAAATAAAATTAACTTCGGGTAATGTAATGGGACTTTTACTTTGTGGTATTTCGTTACAAACAAATTAAAAATGGCAGGGTAAATTAAATTTATCCCAATTGTTGGAAGAACTGGGGGCTTAGTGAAGCGTGTAGCAGTCGAATATAGAGGCTTCTACATCTACTCCAGATGTCCAGCTCGATATGTTGACTGAAGCGTGATATATGATACATGATGTGATATTTTCTATAGATACCACTAAGAAAATGTCATAGGTAGAAGGGAATTAAGTAAACTCTATGTTACTTTAGTGTGTAACAAGAGCTCCAAATTGAAATTTCAAGTTTGGAACCATGAAGGCGAGTGCCAAAATTAGATAAATTTTTTATAATATTCACACATGTTTTTATTTCTATTACCGACGCATATTAAAATTTTGACCAAATTTTAAATAAATTCTCATTGAAATTCTTGAAGATTCATTTTTTGCTGACTTACAAAGTCCATTACGGCGTTTCTTGTTTTCTTAAGCAATATACAGAACAAAAATGTGCATGTCATATGTACAACCATAGTAACGTTCGGGGCAGCATAATTTTGCATTTTTGCAGAGCAAAGTTTTTATTTTTCTACTCCTCTAAGCAGTATTTTTTAAATTTTAAATAATTGTGGTTGCTGTATTGATAATTTGTTTGCTCTCATTTTTCTTTATGTCATGCAAAATAGATTATTGCCACTTCCGTCGCAGGAGTCGCAACGCCATTGTCCAAATAGATGGCCTCATATTCAATTGACCAGAAACCTATCGATCAAGGAAAAAAATTCAGACGCACGCGACGCTTTATGCTGCCACAATCTTTCTCGTATTGGCAGGTCTAAATTAATTTTGATGAAATAATGCAGACCACCCTTGGTTTGAGTTCGCTTAATTACGCGTGCTCGTAGTCTTGGACATTAATAACCTAAGATAGTAAAATCGAAAAATCTGCTTAGCTGTTCAGGTTTTTAATAATAATACAAAGATATCATATCAAGTAATATTAATTAGCCAAAACGACTACTTGTTTTTTTTCCTGCACTACAATACAGTACGATTCATCAACAACATCACTTTGATGATGTAGGAACTACAGGGTTTTGGAAACTAAAACCTTCTTGTCATAAATATGATCATTTCTAGCCATCAAGATGTTAAAATATAACACCGAAGCAAAGTTCAATTCCGCATAACTCATTTGTATCAACATTCCTCTCATATGAATCTTCGCAATCTTGAAAAGCATTGATATGCCATATCTTTTACCTAAAATAATGTTGGTTCAGGTTGCAGAGTGTCGAAGTTATCTTTGTAAAATGCTTATTCATTAAAATCTCATATACACATATTTTTCAAACTGGTACATGTCGCACTCTCATCTGAACTCAATTTCTGTATGAATTTTAGCAAAAACTCAAAGAAGTAATGAAAAAAAAATGGGGTGACATGTTATCCATTAACCCCCAATTTTTTCTGATGAATTTCTATGGACTATAAGTATATATTCTGGTAAATTAGTTTGATTCATGTTTTTTGTTTATTTGACGCTGTGTGGCGATTTCTTAACAGTTATCAAGGAAAAAACAAAAAATTTTACAATTTTTGCTTGATTAAATTAAAAAATATAATATAGAGCTAATGCTTCGAGAATTTTATATCGGATAACAACATAAACCTGCTTTTGAAAGATTACATTTGAAAAAAAAAGCTTTCAAATAAAAAGTGAGATAACGGAAGCCATATTTTATTCAATAGAATGTATATGGACTGAGCAATTTTATTTTATCGCCATATATTGTACCATTACGCATTACTGATAGCAGCATACATAGATGATAGTTCAGCAGAGATGACGTAGGAGAGTTTTGAAATTTTGGTCCTTATCATAACACGCACTCTCAATGCATAGTCATGTTTGATGTTACAAATGGAACGTCTCATAATTGTCCTACTAGCGCATTATCATGATAACTTTTGTATATTTATACCTAACTTTAGGCCCTCCTCTCAAATTTTTTTGTAAAATTGATGTATTCTGCAACTGTGTAGACACAGTTTTCAGTCAGAGGTTTCTCGTAAATATTTTTCAATATAAGTTTATTGCAAAGTGCAACTTTTTACGGAAACAGTACATAAAGGTAAATTAAGTGTTTTTCTTTCTAGTACAATAAATTTTGTTATTTTGATTCGAGTATTTTCTACAATAAGATGCAAAACTCGTCACTAGCCGTGTACCTATACCAGCTTATTCATAGAAAAACAGTTTTTGTTTTACGAGCAATTTAATATTTTCAAACAATTTTTCGAAAACAAGTTTCGCAAGACCGATCAATCTGGTAGCTTTAAGTTTGCAACCAGAGCTCCATTTACCACATTATTTCCTCGCCAGCCCATTTCCGACGTTTGACAAGTCTTTTAAGCACGTGACTGCGTTGAGGGTCGTCGTTCTCGGGCTTCAGTAAGATGACAATAATTGAAATCGCCCGCGATATCAGCAGCAATACGTGTGTGTGTGTGTGTGTGTATGTTGCCATCTTGCCAGACGCGTTCGTGATTTAATGCAAACTTCCTGTGTGTCCGCCTTCCTGCTTGTAACTAGAGGCTGAGGTTCCGTTACTAGAATGTTATTCTCAAACTGTGTACGCGATAGGAACAAAAGACGACCGCGTAATTGTAATGGATATGGACATGCCCTTGTTGAATATACATATTGTGTTTATACTAACCACCAATAATTTAGCGAGTTTTTATAGAAAATAAATAATCGATACTACCTTCACGAACTAAGAGTAGAGTATCGTATTTCTATCAATATTACACAAAATTGGTTAAAAAAAACTGGCTCCCTGGTCGTCCATTATTTCTATAGTTATGTAGAGATTGCATTTTATTTTTCAATATGCCTCAATTACCGTCCAGTCTAATTTTTTATCGCTTAACTCCTTCCTTTATAGGTGTATAAAGTTTTTCCATTACACTTTTCTTGTGGGCCGCCTTATAAACTGCTGAACCTCATCAAGAGAAACGATTTTCCAAGATAGCTTCATGGGCAAACAAAAAGAAAATGTTGGAGAACCGAAGATCAAACCAAGCATACTGAATTACCTGGTCTGTCGCGGTGGTTATCTCTCTCCCGTAAAAGGGGATGTAACTCAAATTCACCTCGATTTACAATTCAAATTCAAACAAACGGAAATTCTTATGATAGAACTATTAATATTTATTAGTGACTTAATGAACGCCGTTGTCTGTTTCAAATAAATTTATGATTACATGGATAATTCCTTCAGGTTTGCTATTTACGTTGTCCAGTTAATGACCTAATATATAAATGAATTTCCACTAAATCATCGACAAACAGTTTCGTTGTAATGGGATTAAATACCTGAGCGGATAAGAGTGAACGCTTTTGTGAACATAAATTGGAACATGGATAAATACTCTAATAAATATTCTAATTAGTAAGGAAAAATGGAGTTCATTCGCGCATAAAATAAAACATGAGATGATAAATGACAAAAGTCAAAATACCGTCGGTCCCAAACCAGTAACAGAAACGTCCGAAGTGACTCACGAGTGGTACTGCGCACGCTTGATCAGTGCAGTTATCATTCTATCAGTCTATCATTTGTTTTGCCATTGACTTGACATTGACTGCCATTTAAAAAAACCAACCCAGGAGGGATGGGAGGCACGGGTAATTCTTTTTACCCTCCTTGCAATTCCTCTTGATTTCTTCGCGCTTTTCTGTGGAATTGCTCTGAAATATTAAGCAAAAGTCCTTTGAACGACGAACTATCTCTATAAGAAAATTTTTTGTTTATTTTAAAAGTGCTATCAACTGGGATAATGTACTAAAATATCCCGTATATTTTCGATGCAAATAAGCATTTGTTTAATAAACGGAAGCTAAACGTAAAACAGACCGAACCGTCTCCATTCAGTCAAAAACTTTCCTAATAAAATTACAATTTATCCGGCACGATTTGGCGTAATTGGAGTCGCCATATAAGACGAAACCCGAGAAATTAAAGCTCTAAGTGAGACCGCGGCGCTTAGTTTCGTGTAGTTTGTCGTTGTTTTTGGCTAACGGCAACCACGACACCATCGAAGGGAGAAATTTGAAGAAAACTTTTACGGGCACGCAACTTCATGATTTGTCACGGAGCTGACTGAGATTAGGGGTTGCTTTTTGGGGGAAATCGTTGCTTTACGATTTTGGCGAAAGAAATGCGAAATTTGTGTACATAAATATGGGCGCTACTAGTCTAATACGGAAATGGTATTTAAAGAGCCATAAAGTCAACGGACCCTTGCTCCCTTTTTTTCAAATTATATCCTCGAATCAGTGCAGAAACTCACTGATCTCGGGGATGCCCACTTCTACTATTTCATTTTAGTTTGCTGCAAAATATCGAGACAAAAACACTGTTTTAAATGAATAATAGATAAAATAAATTTCTTTTAAATATGTTTGTATATATTTTTCCCTGAAGGTTACAAATAATAAACTCTCCTTTTAATGTGTTTTATTTACTATTAGAATGTTTTCCATTATTTGTTTTTTTTTTTGGTAAAACTGCTTTATAGGGCATGAGATTTTTGTATTAAACCCAAATGAAAAGTTTGTCTAGTGTTCGATTATGTTTCTGGCCATAATTCGTTATCACAGCATTTTTACAAAGCATTTTGCTTCTTTAACGTTAAATACAGTAAAATTATAAAAATGGTTTGTTTCCATTTCAAAAAATGTCCTTTAAAGATTTCTGTATTTAAATTTTTAATGTTACCCTTTGATCAGATTTTCATGAAATTATATTTTTTTACATGACAATTGTTTCGACAACATCGTGTCTTTATCAAATGTAATATTTACAAACTACCTGCTACTATATATACCGAAAAATGACCATAAAACGTTAATTAATGTTGTTGTGAGAATTTAAGATCAATAAGGGAGAGGTATTTA